ATAAAGAAAATAAATAAAATGCATTAAGAGTGTCACAAAAACGAGCATAGCCTATACTTGTTGCACAGTGTTTTTTTCCATTTGTTAATCTGTTAATTATATTATAGCCTATTTATAAAATGTGCGTACGCACAGATTTGATCTTAGAGTGTGCTTACGCTAAAATCCAACATTCATATTTATAAAAACGGTCTTTGACGTGGAAAAGTACCTACCATATTTATAAAAACGGTCTTTGACGTGGAAAAGTACTTACCGCCACGTCAGGGTCTGAGCAGGCGTACGCACTTTTCCTTGTGGCAAAGTCGGAGTACTGCAGCTATTTGAACATCTAAGCTGCAATAATAATAATAAAAGCAGTGTACGTGCAAGCACCAAATTCATCATAAACAACAAAGATGCAGTGTAAGAGATTAATTGTGCAGTGTAGTCAGATTTTTTTATTAACGGGAGTTTTTGCGAGATTAAACTGACCTTTTTAGTAGCCTAATGTTGAGAGTTCTTTACTCGCTTTCTGTACACAGTTTATTCCATATGGTTTTTTAATCTTATTTTACAAGATAACTTCTGAAGTCTTGATTTACTATTAATGCATACAATAGAAAAAAAAATGCATAAATGCATCTCCGACTGTTTTGTCTGTGTAGCCTATAAGATGTCGTGCAATAACGGTTTCAATATATTCTATTCAATAACATTGTTAACTGTTTTTATTTATAACATCTGCTGCTTTGCTTCTGTGAAAATGAATAGAGACATCAGCCTTAAACTTTGTTTTTGTCATTTACATCAGTTATATTTGTATAAAATACACTATATTCAATAATGTTTTTTTAAAGTTTTGCAAGAATTTCGTAATACTAAACGTTTTATTAGTTGTCATAGCAAGTGATTTTAATATAGGATGGCTTACTTTTAAAGATGACTGAAAATGTTACTTGAATTCGTAGTTTATTCTTACTTTTGGAAACTTAATCGTTTTATAATTACTACTACTACTACTTTTGTTGTTGTTGTTGTTGTTGTTGTTGTTGTTATTATTTCTGTTGTTTCTAGAAGTAGTAATTTAGATAATAGTCAATAGAAAAAATATAACCACACACATACACATTGTTTGTCCACAGAATAATTACACATTAAATAAAAAGCGTCCCCGTACGAACCTCTACCTCCGCCTTCAGGACCTCAATTTCAGACTCAGTAAAGTTTTTTTTTTCTTTTTGCTCGTCATTCTCAAGCATAGAAATTTGGATATTGGCGTGTGCTCTTTTGTATGGTAATGATATTAATTAGGGGGCGGTTACAAGGCGGAGATCTGACACCAGTCAGCTGCGCACAATTTCAAGATAATTAGTGATTTATAAATGTCACATCTGGAAGAAAGGTGCATGCACGTGTTTTTGTGCGCACGTTCGTTTTCTCTGAATCGCACTTATGCACTTTTGAGAAATGATCTTAGAACAAATTTAGGATGGTTTATACGCAACATTTTATAAATGAGGCCCATGATGTTTCTCTGCACTTCGTAAATTATGTTTCCATGAATGGAAATGCTAGTTTGATGTGTCACGTGATTTATAAAATCTTCGATTAATTTGTCATAACCAGATCAATTACTGTTACGACCGCAAGGGGTCAGCTGGAAAAAGGAAGAAAAAGGAAGAGAGCCTCAATACCAGAGAGATGCTGAACAACAAGAATTTATTGACAAATAAGGGTTTAGCGTCAGGGGCAGACAAGGCCAAAATAACAAACAAAAATTATCCTTTTTATTAACACTCTACACTTCCTAAATCAAAATTAAAGCAAACAAACATACAGTTTAAACTTACCTGCCTCCCTAAACCAAAAACAATGTGAAAAGAGGTTTAAAAATAAAATGGCGTCTAACCCCCTACATCCCTCAATTTGCCAAAACTTATTAACAACATATTTACAAAAGATATATACAAGTTAACAGCCAACAATTCACAATCGGAATCCAAAATCGTAGTCAATCAGGCATGGGTCAAGTTAACAAGGAATATCACAGAATGGAAACAAAAAAATAAAAATCACAGAGCTATCACAGAATTGCAATCACACTCACAATCCTAAACACCCACACACTATCTCTCTGGTAAGACACTCAAAGACTTAAACGAACAACGACGGCAAGGCACAAAGGCAAACTACAGAGTCACACACGATGGCACAATCATGGCCCCGATTGAGTGTTTGGGGCAGTCCTTATATCTGGGTCAGGTGTGGAGGAGAACCAATCGCAGCCTCCAACAAATTATCTCAAGGAACCGCCCATCTGAAACACAAACATACACAGAGAGAACACAAGAGGGCAGAATGGAAACAACGAGCAAATGACTTAGGCTCATAACACCGCCACCCACAAAATGAAACACCCTGTTTTACTGATTAACACGAGACAGTGAATCAGCAATCACATTGTCAATACCCTTTTTATGACAGATGACAAAGTTGTAACTTTGGAAGATTAGTGACCAGCGCATTAGACGATGATTAGCATTATACATACGTTGAAGAAATACAAGAGGATTATGGTCAGTATAAACCGTAACTGGTTGCGAACTGGAGCCAACATAGACCTCAAAGTGTTGAAGAGCGAGAATTAAGGCGAGGGCTTCTTTTTCTATGGTACTGTAGTTAATCTGATGTTTGTGGAATTATTTTGAAAAGAAACTTATTGGGTGATTCAAGCCAGCAGAATCCATTTGAAGAAGGACGGCACCCGCACCAGTACCACTAGCGTCAACTTCCAACAAGAATGGCTTTTCAAAACAGGGGGCAGCGAGCACAGGGGCACTATAAAGCAAAGTTTTCAAGGCTTCAAAGGCGGACTGAGATTCCGAAGACCACTTAAATGAGACTGCTTTACGTAATAGTCCAGTGAGAGGACTGGCAACATCTGAAAAATTATTACAAAAACATCGGTAATAGCCAGTCATTCAAAGAAATCGAGTCATTCCATCAAGGATGGCTTGTATCTTGGAATTATGAGGACGAACTTGACCATTCCCAACCTCCTTTCCCAAGTACGTGACAGTGGCACAACCGAATTCACACTTTGATAAATTCAAGGTTAGGTTAGCATTTCTCAAGCGTTTGAAGACATCATCCAAGGTTTAGAGATGGTCTTCCCAAGTATCAGCATAGCACACCACATCATCCAAAAAGGCCTCACAATTGGACACATCAGACAACACTATGGACATCAGTCGCTGAAAGGTAGCTCAAGCATTTCAAAGGCCAAAAGCCATAACACGGTACTGCAGAAATACATCAGGGGTGGCAAAAGCAGATACCTCAGATGCTCGCTCTGTGAGTGGCACCTGCCAATATCCTTTTAGCAGATCTAGTTTAGTCACACATTTAGCGTTACCTACCCGATCAACACAATCTTCCATGCGAGGAAGCGGAAAAGAGTCAGCTTTAGTTAAAGCATTAACTTTACGGTAGTCAGTACAAAACCTGGAGGTCCCATCTGGCTTAGGGACAAGTAGACATGGTGAAAACCAGGGACTGGCACTAGGAATTGCTAAATTGTGTTCTAGCAAGTACTGAGTTTCCGGCTTCATTAGTTCTCTTTTAACTGGGTTAACACGATAGGCATTCTGTTTAACTGGGGCATGTGAACCAACATCTATATCGTGTTCTATAACATGGGTAGTTGAAGGAAAGTCATTAAACAAAGTCGGGTACTTATTAATAAGATTGGAAATATCCGCCTGAGCAGATACAGGCAAATGTGACAACTTTTCTGACAAATTCAACAAAGTCTCAGAATTTGGCAAACGAGCTGACAAGAATGATGCACTATTCATTTTCAAACCATCACTTTCGGGTGAGTATTCTGACAGTGACACAGTAGCTGGTACAACAGTAGTAACGGGCATACTAACCTCAGAATCAGAACGCGACACGTACGCTTTAAGCATATTAATGTGACAGACGCGTGACTTTCTTCTGCGGTCAGGGGTATCAACTACATAGTCAGTGTCTCCTAGTTTCTCCTTTATGTCGTAAGGACCAGTGAACTTAGCTTGGAGTGCTGAACCTGGCACTGGAAGTAAGATGAGAACTTTATCTCCAGTCTGAAATGATCGCGGTACAGCCTTCTGGTCATAGTGAGATTTCATTTGGCTTTGCACAGAACTGAGCGAATGTTTCGCTAACTTCCACACTGTATGCAAGCGTTCTCGAAACGCACTGACATAATCAAAGACATTGGTAGTTGAAGACGGACGACTAGATGAAAGAATTTACTCTTGCAAAATTTTCAATGGACCACAAACAGTGTGTCCAAAAATTAACTCGGAGGGACTAAATCCAAGGGATGCTTGAGTGGTATTACGTACTGCAAATAACAAGAGCGGGATGTGTTCATCCCATTCTTTTTCATGTTCTGCGCAAAAGGTTCGTAGCATCGACTTTAGGGTTTGATGAAAACGTTCGATAGCGCCTTACGACTGAGGGTGGTATGCACTGGATACCTGATGTTTGATGTTCAACTGTTTCATTACCTTCGCAAACACTCTGGACATAAAATTGGTGCCTTGGTCGGACTGAATGTATTTTGGCATTCCAAAAGTAGTGCAGAACTTCACAATTGCCTTGACAATTGCATGAGCTTTGAGAGAACGTAGCGGTATTTCGAGTGACGAGTGGGGGCGGGGCCGAGAGCCGTGGGAACGGAGCGAGGCCGCTGGAGTAAATGCTAATGCACGACACCTGCGCCACTCACCGGTCTCGAGTCCCACGGAGGAGCTCCGGAAGCATAAAAGGAGGAGTGACGACAGTGTTGTACGAAAGAGGACGAGGCCTGGATTTTATTTTGTGTTAGTTTAGTTTATTAAAGTTTTCTTTGAGTGTTCGCCGGTTCCCGTCTCCTTCTTCCCGAATTACAAACTTTGTTACATTGGTGCCGAAACCCGGGAGGAAGGAGGGACACACTGCCAGAGATCCCTCGCCGCTGTGGTGAATCCGCGGTGCCATCGAGCATGGCGGAGCAGTCTGCCGCTGTGGACACTCGAGGCGGTGGGCTGGAGTGAGTTGCCGGGGGGGGCGGACGAACTCGCTGCAGGCTGCCTGGGATGTGGGGGGACGGCTGCCGTCCGTAAGGGAGCGGAGGAGTCGCCGCCGTTTGCCTGAGGCCGGAGCCTGCTGCCATCCGCCATGATGGGGAGGAGCAGGGAACGGGGGACTCCTGCCGGCTGCCCGAACCCGGAGGAGCCGGGCACTTGACCACTTACGCATCAATACATCATCCTCAAAGTAGTATGCCACTGGATGGTCTGACAAATCAGTCAGCTCAACAGCGGCTTCAACACAATGAGTCAAAGTTTGATCAGCACGTTGTGCCTCAATTAACATGGGTTTACCAATGAGTAAATCAACACCTGGAAGGGCACACACATCTACCTCAACTGTACCAACATCTTTCTTTGCATTAACAGAATTGTCAGCACACATAAACGAATCAGACAGATCCACCGTATCCCTAAATTTGCGTGCTTGAGCTCGGGTCACAATGCATGTGCCAAACACATCAGGAAACTCTTCATGCAGCACATCACCGTTCTGCACAACAGGGGTATCGATTACCTCAGGCAGACAAAAAAAAACTTTATCACCTGCCAGATCATTCCCAAGAATGAGCGACACACCTTTAACAGGTAACTGTTTAACATTCCCTGAAATGATCCCAGAGTGTAGAAACACTTGGTGTAAAGGAACTTTAACTACTGTGAGATCAATACCTTGCACCAGCACATTGGAACCACAGCTTGACTGTTCAGAGAATGGCAACACACTTTGTAGGATAAACGATCGGGCAGCGCCAGTATCACGGAGGATGCGAATATGCTGCAACTCAGACTGGGCTTCACTCAGTGATACTACACAGTCACAAATGAAGGGTTCAAAAGTAGACTCAACCACTGAATTCAGAGACACATTTTGCTCAGGTGACAAAACCGGTCTTTCAATCAACGCAACACTTTTCGAAGGGTTCGCTTTTCTACTAAATTTTAAGGTTTCAACGTGGGACAATTTGCGATGAGGTGCACAACCTCATGACAATAAAAGCATTCACGGTTCTCACTACTGTCTGCACTCGAAATGTTCTTAGGTACTACTGTGGCATCCTTAGAACTACAAACTCGATCAGGGAAATTACGCTTTGTGGGTGAAAACACTATTTTGTGCGTAAGTACAAATTCATCAGAAAAAACTGCAGCCTCAGAAAGAGATGACACTTTCTG